CAAAAAAGCCAAGGCTACCTAGATCGAGGGGGGGGGCGGGCTGTGTCACAATAGAGCCTCTGAATTTTGAGCATGTTTGACATACAGAGAGGTTGGGAATCACCTAGGAAGGTAGATGAATTAGCCTTCTTCTCTCAGTGCTGCAGAAGTGGAGAGTCGTTCCGATTTTGGATTGCATGGTCGGGGCCGGGGGATTAGTTCTTGCTTCCCAACTTCTCTTGCATCAACATAGGAATTGAACATTCAAGCAAGCCTTTCTGCATTAAATTGAAATTTCACAGTTGACTGCTGGTCCTCCCCCCCCCCAGGCTTTATGATTTTGGCCTCCACATTTTGGGTTTTACTGTGTCTGGATGTTCTGCCCTGCCTAGATGTCTGGAGTTAATGCCAGACAGGCTAGATGGGGGGGAAATCAGTCTGTGAGAGAAGATGCCAGTGGCAGACTGGAGACCACCTCCTGGAATTTTCCCAGCCTCATAGAGAAACCATTCCCCATCACTCAGCTTCACCTGCCTCACCAAAGGGGGGGGGGGGGGTTGGCAGAGGCTGAAATGATGAAGGCTGTTGTCATCTCACACCGAGTCCCCTAGAAGAAGGACAAGATGGGAGGGCAGGTGATTCCCAGACCCTGTTTGCTTTCTCTCCCTTTGGAAGATTAAGACCCGTCGTGTTCTGAAATGTAGAGGAGCTACTTCTGTAACAGAGACCAGGCTTTCTGGATGGAGTACAATTATTTTTGTTACTTTTAGGATAACGGCAAATGGATCAATGGGATGGATGAGCAGATTATGTCCTGGGCAACGTCACGGCCGGAGGTGAGTAAAGGAAGCCGTCGTTCTAAAAAGCATCAATCAAAGGTGGTGGTTCTTCCCTAAGAGCCCCTCTTGTTTGTGCCGGCCTCCCCTTAGGACTGGCACCTCGGCGGGAAGTGCGACGTGTACCTCTGGGGCGCCGGGAGGCACGGGCAGCTGGCGGAGGCTGGAAGGAACGTCATGGTGCCCGTCTCAGCCCCCTCCTTCTCACAAGCCCAGCAGGTAACTCCATGCAAAGGCTTCTCTCTCGGGGCCCCCGCCCGCCTGTAGGAAGACACGCTTCCCATGGTCCCCTGGTGGTCGGTCGCTGGTGTCTGAAGTCAACAGCAAGAACACCATGCAGAGCAGTGCAAGCCGACCCCCATTTCCCTAAAACTGGAAGTAACAAGGACTGGACTGTAGGAAAGCCCAGCCCTTCTTTAGGCGCTCAGGATAAGTCCTGGAGGCTGAAAACGGCCAGCTCCCGTGGAGCCCCTTTGTCCCTTAGCAAGGGTTGGAGCACTAGAACACGCCTTTTTTAAGCGCAGGCGTGCGGCCCTGGGTCTTCCCTTGCTTGACCCTGAAGCCAAGGTGCTCTTCTTTTCAAGAGGTGGTCAGTGGCCGGCCTCAGGCCAGCAAGCTCCCCTACCCGTCGACCCCTGCCACCCTCCCCTTGATTGCACCCCCTGCTCAGACTCAGGCCCCAGACGGCTGAACCCTTGGGCTCCACTTCCTCTTAGCAAGACATCCATGACCCTGCACCCCATTGAATGGTTTGTGGGCAGTAGAGAACAGGGCAGAGTGCAGTTTTGTGTTTGCTGTGTTTTAGGCTTGGGTGTTTTGTTTTACTCTTCTTAAATGAAGTGGCACCCGTTTTCTTCCAACCCATTAGGTCATTTGTGGCCAGAACTGCACATTTGTGATTCAGGCCAATGGGACCGTTCTGGCCTGTGGAGAAGGGAGTTACGGCCGCCTGGGCCAAGGAAACTCAGATGATCTGCACGTGCTGACTGTCATTTCAGCCTTGCAAGGTAAGGAGGGAAGACCGTTTCAGCTGCATTTGTGGGGTATATAGGCCATAGGGCCTGCTGACTATAGTGGAATGGGTTGGTTTCAGAGTTTTTGTTTGAGTCTGGTGTCACAGAGCTAAACATGCCTTCCTTTGACCTGGCACCCATTCGTTTAATTCATGAAATCATTCAGCATCTTTTATTGGTTTCACTTCTGTAACGAACAGGTTTGGTTTTTGTGACACTTAACTAGAGCTTTCCTGACTTAACAGACCATGTAAATTGGTGTAGATAGCTGAAATAACGATCACAGTGTCTCTGTGCCAAAAAATCCCACACAGCGGTCCTCAGGGGGTGTGGTGGAGTCGTGTCAGGTGGGGGGAGAGTCGCCCAGGCTCTCCTTTGGGTGGCGTGCTATACTGCTGTCCTCCAGGAAGACCCTCTGTCTGCTGGGGGATTCGTCCGTAAGGTCTCCTTGTGTGGTTTGCAAGCTGGGTTTGAGGAGGCCTTTGTGCTCCTTCCTGATATCCTTCTTTTCCCCTTCTGCCAAAGGCTTTGTTGTCACCCAGCTGGTGACGTCGTGTGGATCGGACGGGCACTCCATGGCGCTGACAGAGAGCGGCGAAGTTTTCAGCTGGGGAGATGGAGATTACGGCAAGCTGGGCCATGGCAACAGCGACCGGCAACGCCGACCCAGGCAGATCGAAGCCTTGCAAGGGGAAGAGGTGGTGCAGGTGTGCAGCAAAGCCCATTCCTGCGGATAGTCTAGCAGCCTCAGGACCTTTAGTCACTTGGGCGGGTGTTGAGGGAAGGCCTAGAGTTGGACTCCGGCCCGTTCATTAGCAGATCGAAATCCCTGAAGGAGGCTTCCTCCTGAAAACAGCAGCCCACCCATGGAATATTTCCCCAGTGCTGCTGCTTCCTCATCTGCGCCCCCCAACCCCCCAATTATAGAGACATGCTTGGTGGTTCAGGCACTGAGGCAGTCAGTCCAGGCTGCGGGTCAGTCGTGGTTCTGGGGCCACCTGGCCTGCGGGAGATGACCGATGTCCCGGCTGCACTGAGCAGCCTGGGAGATTCTCCCGGAACAAGGACCATTTCTAAAAATGTTGTTTTGATCCCTCTCCCCCCCCCCCGGCCCGGCCCCCGGCAGATGTCCTGTGGCTTCAAGCACTCGGCCGTGGTGACTGCGGATGGCAAGCTGTTCACCTTTGGAAACGGGGACTACGGGCGGCTGGGATTAGGGAACACGTCCAACAAGAAGCTTCCGGAAAGAGTGACGGCCCTCGAGGGCTATCAGATCGGAGAGGTGGGTGGCTCGGTTGATAGGATGACCCTGACATTTGTGGTGTTCAGCGGAAAAAAAAACCTCCAAATTTGCCAAGGGTTCTTGTACAGTGACATTTTCCTGTTGACGTTTTCAAGAGGAAATGTTCCTGCTCATTTTTGTTATTTTCCTTTGATATTCCAGTGGACAGATAGGCGTAAATTCTGCCCGTCTGTGGGTTTAGTGGGAAACTTTCCAGCAGTGCCACCTCTGCACATCCCTCTACCTGTGCAGGCCAAGGTCGTTTTGAGGTCTGGCTTTGGCAACCAGAAGGGATTTTCGGTGTGTCCGGTGCGAGGATCCCAGCGCCAGGGCTGGCAATTGTACTTCCAGCATATCTGTATTTGCCAGAGCAGGAGAGGGACAAGATCCAGGCTGGAAGGGAGCTGCTGCATGTTAGCACGCTGTTGATGCAGATGGGATACAGGACTGTTAACCGAAGCTGATATCCCAGATGAGACGCTTCGTGTGGAAGTTCCTTCTGTTCAGGGCAGAGACCTAATCAAAACGTTCCTTTCCGAATCTAGGTGGCCTGTGGGCTCAACCACACCATTGTTGTGTCCACTGAGGGTTCCATGGTTTGGGCTTTTGGTGACGGTGACTACGGGAAACTGGGCCTGGGAAACTCGACCGCAAAATCCTCACCGCAGGTAAGCAGCACTTTGCCGGGTCCTTTCCTCCGTGTCCTTTCCTCCGTTCTCTCTCTCGACGTGTTTTTTACCCGGTTGCGAGTTCTGCGTCGGGTCCCTTTGCCTTCCGAGTCTGCCAGAAGGAGAGAGAGACACCTACGGAGCTGTGAGCTCCCTTTGCCACCCAGGGGGAGGTGCTCATGACGCCAAGTCCTTGCCGAGCAGCTCATCTCCATCATCTTTCTCCCCGCTTACTCCGTTGTGCCTTTGAGCCAAGCTTTCTGTTGCTTTTCTTCTATTGGGGATTCTCTCTGCCCCTGAACCAGCTGGATAGCGATGGCTTATATATCTGGTACCACCAAGTTCCTCATTCTGTAGCCCTAAGATAACACTTGGCATCTGAGGTTCTCAGTCGCCGTTCAGTTGCTGTAAATTTGAGAGGAAGATCTATACTGATGAGAGGCTCTAGTTTCAGAAATCTGGAGAATTGCCAAGATCAGAGCCTAGAAACTTGACATTTTTATACAGCAGCTCCAAGAAATGTGCAACCAGCCTGCCTGGCCCCGACCTCTTTGTGACTCCACGTCAGGAGTCTTTGTGCCTCTGGCTGCCTATAAGGACACACCTGTATTGCACTGAAATTTAAAAACGTATCGGTGCTTCCTGGAATTGCATCGGGGCATCTGAATCGGGCATCCATCCTGCTTTGTGTGTTTTAATCCGTCGCCCCTCCTGGCAGGCTCCCAGGACATAACCTCTTCCTTCCTTCCTCTTCTTAGAAAGTGGACATTCTTTGTGGGATTGGCATCAAAAAAGTGGCCTGTGGGACCCAGTTCTCCGTTGCCCTGACCAAAGATGGACACGTGTATACCTTTGGGCAAGGTAGGCTGAGTTTTCTATAGAGAGAGTGCTTAGGATCACACCCCACTGACTGCCATAATGTTGGAGAACGGGAGAGATGGCTTCTTGGCTGTCTTGTAATACCTTGTCTTGAAACAAGGTATTTTGCCGTTGCAGATGAATGCTTGCCAGCTGCTTTTCAAATCATGTAGGCCCTTCCTTCCTTCCAGAATGCGGTCTTCTTTTGTCTGGAAACCCTTGCTTGTTTGGGGGGGGGGTTGCCCTTTCAAAGGGTCTGCCGTGTCTGCCCACGGCCATAGACCCTCTCTTTAGTGCTTCCTGTATTCTCCCAGTCCTGTGCCAGGAAAGAGGCGAACTCTCTCTAAAAGCCCCCTCGCCTCCCGTGGCCTTGATCCGTTTTCTTGCTTCCTTCCAGACCGGCTGATCGGTTTGCCCGAAGGCCGGGCCCGCAACCACAACCGCCCTCAGCAAGTTCCAGCCCTATCGGGAGTTTTCATCGAAGACATTGCCGTGGGGGCCGAGCACACCCTCGCCCTCTCTTCTTCGGGGGACGTCTATGCCTGGGGGAGCAACTCAGAAGGGCAGGTGGGCGCGAGAGGGGCCAGGTTTCAGCCACCAAAAACACTTTGCTTTTTGCCATTTGTATAAAAAAAAAAACCAGACAGGAGAGCCTACAAATTAAGGGAAAGATACCCTTTCAGAGAGAGTTGTAGCCGAACGGTGGTCAGAGCAGTGGAACTGGAGCAGGAAAGAGAGGCTCTCCATGTGTGCCCAGGCACATGTTTTAACGTTAACCCCTTGATCCCCAAGGGTCTAGACCTGGAAAGTGGCAGGGCACGAGATGCATTTGGTAGCCACAGGGGGTGGGCGGCGGGTGGGTGGGGGAATACACGCTATGTTTCACAAAGGCTTCCGGAATGACCACACACCTCCCCTCCGACCCCTCCTCCCCATTGGCCTGACTCTCCTTCCCCTCTCTAGCTCGGGCTGGGCCACACCAACCACGTCCGGGAGCCAACGCTGATCACGTTCCTGCAAGGGAAGAACGTCCGGCAGATCTCGGCGGGCCGATGCCACAGTGCCGCCTGGACGGCTCCCCCTGTGCCCCCGCGAGCGCCAGGTAAAGGCGGGCAACGGGGACAGGGGTCCCGGGCGCCTTAGTGTAGGGGGTGGCCCCTTCGGGTCCCGTCCTGCAGCGCCGCCCCCCCTCCCCCCGGCTGTCTCCGCTCCCAGCAAGAGGCGCCAGGCCACGGGCTCAGCAGGGTCTGACCTGTGCTTCCTTTGGCAGGCGTCTCTGTGCCTTTACAGCTGGGCCTCCCGGATGTGGTCCCGCCCCAGTACGGGTCCCTGAAGGACGTGAGCCCCCACACGGTCCGGGCGAGGCTCCGGCTCCTCTACCACTTCTCTGACCTCATGTACTCCTCGTGGAGGCTGTTGAACCTCAGCCCCAACCACCAGGTAAGCGTCTCTTGCCTCTGCGCACACGGGGCTCCCACCAGAGCCGTCCTTGGCTTTGAACCGTCACTGCCACACCCCTCATCGAGGAGGGGGCCTTCATGGGCGAGGGAAGAGCCATGCAGGAGGGAGCGAGTTTCTTTCCAAATCAGGGCCGCTCAGAGTGGCCTCCTCGAGGAGTGGCATGCGGCTGTCTCCACAGACAGGAGAGGGAACTCTGGCTCACATCCGTGAAGCCCATACAGGATACGCCTCTCTGGGAAGGGTCCTCAGAAATCTGGTGGGACGGAGTGTCTAGGGGGCGCCTGGATCTTTGCGTGCCGTAATGCCAGTGCACTGATGGAAAGGGAAGTTCCGAGAGTGAAGGGCAGTCCCTCTCGTCTAGGGGATCTGCCACAATTAGCCACAATCAGGGCAGGGCGGTCAGGCACAGGACAAGCCTCGCCCCGAAGCGTCCGGTGAGGAAAGCAGGGAGGCGAGTGGGGACTCCCTTCCTCTGTTGCAGCCGAAAACTAGAGGCCTTAAAAAGGGGGTCAAGGGAGAGGCCTCGCTCCCCTTAAAAGTCAGCATTCCGTTTGCCAGTATTGCCAGGCTGCAGGAGCAACTCTTAAGGAGCCCAGTAGGGACAGCCTCTGGAGTCCAGCTGGCAATGGACTCTCAGGGGGAGGGCCACCTGTGTGTGGGCCCAGAGAGCCTGGTGGGCTAAACCGGGCGGGTCCCTCTTTTTCCCCCTGCAGAACAGCACATCCCATTACAATGCCGGAACGTGGGGGATCGTCCAAGGCCAGCTGCGCCCCTTGTTGGCCCCCCGGGTGTACACCCTCCCCATGGTCCGCTCCATAGGGAAAACCATGGTGCAAGGGAAGAACTACGGCCCTCAGATCACCGTCAGAAGGATCTCCACCAGGTCAGCCGCACCTTTCAGCTCTCTTCTAAGTCCCACTGACTGGTTCTCGGAACAAGCCGCGAACCTCCTCCGGTCCGGGTAGAGTCTCTGCCTGGGCTCTGCGGCGGCGCTTTGGTGTTGGGTCCCGTATGTGGCTGATTTTTTCTTCTGCTTCTCCAAAGAGGTCGGAAATGCAAGCCCATCTTCGTTCAGATTGCGAGGCAAGTCGTGAAGCTGAACGCGTCGGACCTTCGCCTGCCCTCCCGTGCCTGGAAAGTGAAATTAGTTGGAGAAGGTGCGGACGACGCCGGGGGAGTCTTTGATGACACGATTACAGAAATGTGCCAGGTACGGCCCAGGCCTTTTCCTGCTTCCATTCTTCCCTCACACGCTTGGAGTGCCCCTATGCGGCTGTGCCTTCGGTACCCTGAACAGAGGGCAGGCCAGTGGAGAGTGAAAAAAAAGAGGGTCCAGAGAGAACATGGGGCACCTCGTGCCCTTCACGGACTTGCCTAGCGAACAAGGGCCCTGGGCCTGGTCGAAGATTCGGGGTGGGTGCATTTGGGTTTTGAGAACTCTCGCGCTGATCCCTCTGTCCAAACCTTTGCTAGCGAGTGCTATGTTTCCTGCATTTTAGCTACAGCGTGCCTATTTCGTAATGCAGTGGGCCCTCGACTTACGAACGGCCCTAGTTGTGAATGTTTCGGGTTACGAACCTGATCTCATTGCAAGTAGCAGACCCTACTTGCGAACGCAGATCGAGTTACGAACCCAAAAGGCAGGAAGAAAGGGCGGGAAGTTCAAATTTCTGCCCTTCCTCCCTGCCTTTGGAGCTTTCAAAAGGCTTTCTCCGACATCGGAGGAAGCCCTTTGAAACCTCTGAAGCCAAAAAGGAGGCAGCCCTGGCAGCATCGGGTGAAAGGAGGGAGCCGATTTCTCCCCCGCTGACCAGCTTGCTTTTCCAAACGAGAAGCAAGCCAGGCGGCCGGGGAGAAATCGGCCCCCTCCTTCCCCCCGATGCTGAGCTCCCTTTGCTGACCTCAGTCCCTGGCCCGGCATGAAGGGGACTCAGCAGCCGCGGCAACATTGGGTGAAAAGCCTTTCCTTCCCCAGCACCATGGGAGGACTTCGGCCGGAATGGATTAATTGGTTTCCAGTGCATTCCTGTGGGAAATGCTGGCTCGATTTACGAACTTTCCGATTTACGAACTTACTTCCGGAACGGATTAAGTTCGTAAATCGACGCTTCACTGTAGAATGATAGGACTCCTCCCCGCCCCCCCCCCCCCCCCCCCCCCCCCCGTTAGCTCTTCTAGAAAGACTCTTTCACCCTTGATCTTTTCTCAAAACCCACCTTTCACGCTGCCTTGATTTTGAAAGTACTGTGGAAATGGCTTTGGCCTTTCTGGTAACACATGTAACTTAATTCTTCCCAATGTATTTTTTTAAAATTTAAAACATTTCTACCCGACTTTCTCCTAAGGAACTTGAAACTGGTGTGGTCAACCTCCTGATTCCTTCCCCAAATGCAACGGCTGAAGTTGGCTACAACAGAGATCGGTAAGTTGTAAGGCCGCCTGTTTTCCCCTGAAAGGGCCAGCAGGGAGCTGTGAGTTAAAAGTGCGAGACCTGCCATGATAGTGAAATCCTCCCGGGATGAAGAATAGAGTTTGAAGTTCTGGAATAGTGAACAACGCTGCTTTCTCAAGCAATTCTGGACAGAGTGGTCTGGCTCCAATCTCCTTTGGCTCAATCCTCTGGTGATACTTTGGTGGCCCTTCCACCGTGTCCCTTAGCGATTGACACATCTACGCACCCTTATTACCCCTTTATCAGAATAGGGCTGCTGGGGGTGTGGATCTCTGCCTGGAAGAGTTCATGACCCCAGTTGGTCCATGTGACGGTCCGGGGACCCCGATCTGCCATTTTGACCCCCTTCTCGTGTTTGGCGTCTCCCCAAGGTTCCTCTTCAACCCTTCCGCCTGCCTCGATGAGCACCTGATGCAGTTCAAGTTTCTGGGCATTCTGATGGGGGTGGCCATCCGTACCAAGAAGCCATTAGACCTCCATCTGGCCCCCATGGTGTGGAAGCAGCTGTGTTGCATCCCACTCACTCTGGAAGACCTGGAAGAGGTGGATCTTCTCTACGTGCAAACCCTTAACAGCATTCTTCACATTGAAGACAGCGGGATCACGGAGGAGAACTTCCACGAGGTCAGCCTCCAAGCTCGTCTCAGCAGCTGAATCTGCTTCCTGGGTGTCTCCTCAGCCCGGTCAGCGCTTGGACGCCTGGGCTTCTCTCGTCTTCCTTGGCCTGCAGGCCAGAGTTTGGTTCCAGATCAGCGTGGAACCCAGAAAGCTACCGAGGTGGCCCAGGACCTTGCCAGTTTGGGGGGTGTTCGTGAGGTTGGCGTGCAGACTCTGGCAGTGCATGAGAGGGAGCAGGGAACATACGACAGGAATTAGAAACGGCCAATATAAGAAATGTGACATGACATGAAAATCAGCATATGTTTCATGTGGCAACATTAGTGTGCTATTATGTTGTTGCTTTTGTTTTTTTCCCACCAGATGATTCCTCTAGATTCTTTTGTGGGCCAGAGTGCGGATGGGAAAATGGTTCCCATAATTCCTGGGGGGAACAGCATCCCACTCACGTTCTCAAACAGAAAGGAGTATGTGGAAAGGGCCGTTGAGTACAGACTCCACGAAATGGACCGCCAGGTGAGCATCCCCCCCCCCAAATGCATCTGTTCTTGTGCAGGATTGAGTGGTCCCAGCCAGTGCCATCATTAAAAGGATTGCTTTGTTTCTTTGGCTTTGTGTTTGCCTTCATTTTGTTTTTCTGCAAAGGTAAGCATGCAAATCCTTTTTATATAAAAGTCTTCATTTTTTTTCCACTTTGCCCCTGTATTATTATCATTATCATTATTGGAGGTACAATTAGTGCAAAGATTATTGTGATGAAAACAGTCAAATAGACAAAGCTCTCTAGGTGTTTCTTGAAGGAACTAGGCAGCTACTGGAACTACCAAGATTTATCCGAGAGAAGAGGGAGAACTGTGGGCTCGTAAAGGAGACACAAGGCCATCAGGTTTCCGCTGCAAAACTAACTCTTGCCCACAAGGAACAGTTTACAAGTATCTTGTACTCTCGTCACCAAAATCACTTAGAAGCACAGTTTTTGCCTTCTTTACCTTTTTGCTCAAGGCAGGAAAAAGGATAAAAAAACAATATTGTGTGGTAGGCAGTAATCGAGGCATTTCAAAACAGGAAGTTTATTCTTGTTTGGGTTTCATAGGCTTTTATTAAGAAGATGGTTTTATGGGAATACTTCTCTTGAACAGGAGTACTTCTCTCCCCCCCCTTTTTTTTTTCCTCCTTTCCTCTCTGGTCCTTCAGAGGGATTTTCCCTTGGTCCCTCCCTTGCCTTATGAAGCTTTATTTCCTGTGTTGTGGCGGTCCACAAGTGAACCACCGCCTGTCACGTTGTGGGTGGCTTTCGTGGTGGCGTTGCTAGCCCTCTGTACGTGGACCCTTACCGATCTCTCTCTGGCTCCTCCCAGGTGGCTGCGGTGCGCGAAGGGATGTCCTGGATCGTCCCGGTCCCTTTGCTCTCCCTTCTGACTGCCAAGCAGTTGGAGCAAATGGTGTGCGGGATGCCGGAGATCTCTGTGGACGTCCTGAAGAAGGTGGTGCGGTACAGAGAGGTTGACGAGCAGCACCAGTTGGTTCAGTGGTTCTGGCACACCCTGGAAGAGTTTTCAAACGAGGAGCGAGTCCTTTTCATGCGGTTCGTGTCGGGACGATCTCGCCTGCCGGCCAACACCGCAGACATCTCTCAGCGTTTCCAAATCATGAAGGTCGATCGGGTGAGGGACCAGTTCCTCTCTTTTCTCTTCTCTTCGCTCAGCCACTCAGGGCAGGAGATGCCCGCCATCACACGAGCCCACTGCACAGACCGTTGAAGGCAGGCAGTCCTGCGGAGGTGCTAAATAAAAGATGCCCCTCCTGTTATCATTGCGAGAGTGCTCACCTGAGGGGCTGGTGCTGTGCTGCCAGGAAGGTCAGGGCGCGGAGGAGGCAAAGAGCTCCCTTGGGGAGGGAAGGTGCTGCTTTTGTGGTGGTGGGGGGAGGAGGCAAAACCGCCACCCCCTCGGAGCAGAAACATTGTCGGCAGAGCAGGAAGCATCTTCCTCTTCCTTTGAAGGAGAAAGGCAGGAAAGGTCTTCCCGTTTCTTTTGGGAGAAGGGAAACTGGGCAGGAGGGAGCTGGTGGTAAGCGGTCCCTCCACTGCCAGGGTGAACACCGGGGAGGATTGGTTTTCATTTTTCCTGGTCTGTTCATCAGGCAGAAAAAAGCACCACCCTATTTCCCTTCCTAGGATTTCTGTTGGCAATCGAGGAGCCCAGTGGGTCCTGGTTGCCTTCCCTGCCGAGCCAGGGAAGCAGGGCCTTGTTCACCAGGTAGCAGGGAGGGAAGCTGGGAGCCTGGAGCGGGATCTGTTCTTGAAGAAGCCCTCCCGGGGAATGAGCTGTGGGGTGGGAGGGCCAGGTGCTTCCCCCACGGGGAGCCTTCCTGGCTTTTGCTAACCACAACCTGCCTGGGCCTCTCCCCCCCCTCTCCTATTTCTTCCTCGCAGCCTTACGACAGCTTGCCTACCTCACAGACTTGTTTCTTTCAACTGCGGCTCCCCCCTTACTCCAGTCAGCTCATCATGGCCGAGCGTTTGCGCTATGCAATCAACAACTGCCGGTCGATCGACATGGACAATTACATGCTGTCCCGAAATGTGGACAACGCCGAGGGCTCGGACACGGACTATTAGCTCTGTGGACAGAAACCACCTTCTTTTCGCGCACACGGTGCCCTTTCAGTGTTGACACCAGTTTACGGTAACAATAGATGTTTTAGAAACATAAAAAAGTGGCCACCTTTTTTTAGTTACTCTGAATGTAACAAAATCTAGATGTGTTTATTTTTTTGTGATTGTAAACCAACAAAAAAAGAAAACTCCAAAAAGTGAGATCTGTAAGGTTTTCCCCATCCCCCCCTCCACCCCCATTTGGTTCACTTTTTTGATAAGTTTGCATGGAGCCTTTTCTGGTGCATTTTTGTTGGGAATGGTACATTTATAAGCCCTTCCAGTGAACATGAAGAGTTGTACATTGTGTATAATTGTTCATTAGAAAGGACAGTTTTACATGAATATTCATATATTTATTTTTGTTTTAATTTGAAATGCCTGTGCAGGATTCCTTACGCAGAGAAAATAAAGCAAATTCAAGAACTGAACAGTGGGGATTTTTTTTTCTGTTTGCTTTCCACTGGTTTATTCAGTGTTAGCAACAGAATTCACCTTGTTTTGTGACCTTCCAGATAGCACGTTAAGTCAGTCTCATGCTGGCTGAAATCCTGTTCTGTAACTTAGCGGCCACAGCAGCGTGATGACTTCAGCAAGGGGTGATTTTCGGCAATGAAAAAACTTCCTCCTTCTGTTCTGCGGCTTCTGCACAATGAATGGGATTACAGAGGATCTAGAAAAGCCACAGGACAAAAGGAAGAGGTTGTTGATGGTTGAAAATGGTCCCTCCCGAGGATGGCATCATCAGCATTCCAGCAACAGAAAAGGTGGACGGGTGGAAATAACCGGAGTCTATGCAGTCCTCCTCCTGGAAAGGACTCCTCTGATTTGGGGGAAGCACTACAAAAACAGTGAGATGCCATCTGGTTTAAAACCGTCATCCCATGTAGTTTCTTCCTTTAAACTACACGTAAGCAAAATTATGAATCTAGTGATAAAAAGATAGAAAAGATCTGCCTGTTGAGGATTATAAACCAACAGCAAAAAGATTTGTTTTTCCTGGCAAAGCAGGTCCTGCCTAGAACATCCAGCTTGCGCGTAGTACCAGCCGTCTTTTCCTTCTGCACCCATGATGTCTCTTTCCACATTGAAGATATTCCAAGATTTCCTTAAAGGCAGCGGATGTGATTTGTTTCGAAAGAGAGCCGGCACACATACACACCCTTTCAAAATGCCTGTTACAATTATTTTTTTAGACAAAGCAGCCGTGGTGTGCATGGGGTTTTGTCGTATTTGAAGCCCAGCCTAGAGGGTGCTTCGTACAACCTACCCTGTGTGTGAACGAGGGCTGGTGGGCATTGGCTAAAGAGCCCCGTTCTTCCATGTGGCTGAAGTCAGGAGTGCCCGTTTCATCCGTAGCATGCAACACATGTTGAAGAGATGATCCGAAGCAGATTTGAGGATATTCTGGAGATGATCAGCGGCTGAGATGTCCAACTTCCCAAGTGCCTGAATAAAACCCAGAGGCAGCACAGGCGGCTCCTCCCATAATTTAGTGCCACAGCAGTTTCTTGAACGCTCTTTCCGACGCCCAGCTGCCTGGCCTTTTGTCGGGGATCATGGTTGCGCTTCTTTCCGCTTTCAAGGTTAAGGAGGGGCGCTTTTTCCGGAGCCGCTGCAAACCCGCTTGCGTTATATTCCTGCAAAAGTCCACATGCAGGGTTTGTAAGGCATCGGCACAGAGGGCTACAGCTTCCAGAGTCTGGTCAGTGATCTGGACACAGTTTTCCAGCCAGAGAGTCTTCAGGCAGGAGCAGCTCTGGAGAAGCAGCGTCACATAATGGTCCGTGACGTGGCCGCACCCGGACAGTGTCAGGGATGCCAAGTTGGGGCACCTGGAAGCGGAACGATGGGAGGTTAGTGATGTCGATACAGGCGAAGACAACCCAGCTGAAGGTCCATAGTTCTGAGCGCCTGCTCAGCAGCCGGCTTGGACTCCCCGTGTTACTGCCCTCCCCCATTTCGCCTCTACTCCAGCTGTTCCAATGTCTGGACTGGGAGATGCTCCGCACCTCCTGCCTACGAGGGACAAGCACCCTCCTGCTCGACCAGCCCTCTTCATACCCATCTGGGCTTTTTCTTGAGGAATATTGTGGAGACGGGCCTACTTGATGTTTACACACAGATGCCGGAGAGAGCTTTGTTCTGGTTATAATGCCCCCGAGGGGGTTGCTTGGAAAAAATAAAAACTGCCACTCCCCCCCCCAAAAAAAACCCCTCCCATCTGCATTTGCCTACATTTGGGGTTGCTGTAAGAACAGAAGCTGGACTAGACGAGTCTTTGATTGGATGCCGCTGGGCTCCCCCTGCACCCTTCCGCCCACCCCCTGCCCAGAGCGTTGCTTCCCCTCACTTCCGTCAGGCTCTAAGAGACGTTTCCTGGAGCGTTGAACCCAGCTCCTGGGTAAACAGGTCAAATGTTTGAGTGATGGGGGTGGGCTGGCTTGAGCTGGGGAGCAAGAATGCTTGGAATGGCAAGGCAGCTGCAGCGCCCGGCCAAGTGGCTGCATGGCCGAGAAAAGCACAGAGGCCGCCTTTCAGAAAGTTAGCAGGGCTGCCCCTGATGTAAAGGAGGAGGAGGAGAAGCAAGCTCAGAAGTTTGGTGCGGCCTAAGCCATAGGTTTTTTTTTAATTAAAAAAAACAGCTTTCAATCTGAAGCAAAGTCTGTTTTCTTTCGGGTTAAACCAAGGAAGAACCACTCAGCTACACTTTAGCTTATAACCCGTGTGGCTCCTCTATACCGTACAAATCACCCAGGTGAGGAAACCTAGCAGCTGGAGGGCTTACCTGTTGCAGACACGGAGCAAGAACTGGTTGACGGCGTGTTCGTGGACGCGGCAGATGTCCCTTTGCAAGGGGCTTTTCATCCACGCCTCCACGTTGCACACCTTGACTTGGCTGGAGTGCCAGCAGATGGAGAGGACGCGCAAGGCCGGCCCCAGCACAAAGTTGCTCTTGGTCAGCTCCAGGGGAGAGTGGAAGTGCAGCTGAGGCCAGAGCGAAGGGTCCCGGAAGACGCCCAGCATCCGGCGGCAGGTCTGGCCCAAGCTCCTCCGGCTGTCCTTGTCCAGAAAGGAGAAAAGGTGCAGGAGGCACTCCCAGTTGAGCTGCGTGATGTGCATCGCCCTGACGTCTCTCTCTTTCTCTCCAGGAATCAAGCCGCACGCTCAGGCAGCAGGCCGGCCGAGTCCCCTCCCGGTGTCTCTTGGACAAATATGGTGAGGAACGGAGGTTATTTTTGGCTGCCAGCTGGGAACCAAGTTTCAAAAAAAGGGGCAGAGGCTCCAAGGAAGGCTGACGGCAGCCTCGGTTTCTTTTCCCCGCGGAACGGCTACAGCAGGAGCCCGACAGCTTCGTTCATAATCAGATCTTGCCTTAAAAGGATTTATTTGCCTCTGAGCTGATTTGCGCTTGTTTAGAACACTTTCCAACCCACCCATCTGAAAGCAAACTAGAAGTTGCAAACACTCCAGGAGAAAACTTTGTGTTGTGTGTGTTTTCCAAAATTGTGAGACTGAGCCGTGGAAGGCCGGGGTGGGAGCCATCCTTGCAACCGGTCAACCCGCTGCCATCCAGCTTGCTGAGCGGCATCCTCGGGAGGGGACCCAGGCCACCCAGGAAAATCCAGGACTCCTGCTCAGTGCAGGGGCTCTGGCCAGCGAGGGTGTGTGGGCGCGGAGGGGGAGTGCTCCAAAGTACACAGTGTAGAAGTCCCAGACCCAGAGGTCACCCGGTGGAAAGGAACCAGTGTGGGGGAAAGGGAGGCAGGAAATCTTGACCTCGTGGGCTCAGGATGAAAGGAGAGGCTAGAACAAGACGTGGCTGCTGACCCGGAGGACCCCCCAGCGCCACCCACCTCTCCTGGACCATCAAGTCTGAGACGGAGGTACGGCCCTTGTCCCAAAAGGGCACATAAATCGGCAATGAGCATTGCCTCGACCAAGAATTTTTTGGTTGCTGAATGTACACTAGATAAGCAGTGTGTGTGTGCGTGCGTGTGTGCGTGCCAGTTGTGGCCTCAAAACAGAGCCCCAAACCACGTGCCCGGCAACTGTTCCCTGCTTGCCTGGAAGGGCTCGTTCTGGCGCATCCTCAAAAGCCGACGGGTTAAAGGGCCAGAGGCGCAAGAGCCCAACCGCGCAGGAGAACAAATCCTGCCAAACGCAAGGCAGCACCAGAAGGAAAGACTTTAATGGCAAATCTTCCAGACTAGAGGACGGTATTTTACGAGGGCGCTTGAATGGTGGCCGCCCATCATCCTACAAAATCCACCAAAGCCAGATTCAGTGGTCCCTGCCGAACCTTAACCGGGGGGGGGGGGGGAAGAGGAAATTTAAGACAAGCAGTCACTATGATTCTACGACGGTGCTCCTGCCCCAGAGGTTGTAGCGCAAACAGACTCCGTTCGAGAGGCAGGAGGATCCTGGAGGGAGAGGTAGGCCCGTGCCCCAAACCACCACCATCGCCGCCACAGGTGTCTCTCAAGGGTTGGCTGTGTCCTACCTGAGCTCCTCCATCTTGTCTGAACCACCTGGTCCTCCGGTCGAAGTTCCTCTGATGGCTCTCCTGGCATAGCAGCTTCAAGATGGTGATGCTGCACTGACAGGGCTGGCCTTGCAAAGGAGGGCAGGCCCCTCTGAATGCCGACAGGCAGGAGGCGCAGGCCACGCCAACGCCCTCCCTGAGAACGCCTCCGGTGCTCAGTTCTACTGGCACCCGGGCACTTCCTGCTCGTCGCTCTCAGGCACTGGGCAGGGTTGAACCGAGCCTCTGATTTGGGAGAGATCAAGGCTGGGTGAGATACAAGGAGGACCTCCACATCCTCTCATGTAGGTAGAGGTCACACAGTTAAGGGTCAAAATCTGACACAACTGCTTTACTCTGACGCAACTCACTGGCCAGAATCCAGTGGGTAAGCAAATCTCTGGCAGGAAGAGAAATCACAAGCACGACGCCACAGTGCATGAATCAGAGCATCTACAGGGTGGGTCTGCAGCTCAAACCAGGCAGTGGGGCTCCTTCCCAGACCGACGGGCCAGCACTTCAGAAACCGGACCCCAAGGAAGCACATGGATGGCAGTGTGATTCCCACATTCAGGATGATTAACCAACACCGGGTCACAAGGGAGGAATCCTGCCACCAGGAAGGGACCGGAGGAGACCAGGAGGAGGGAAGGGAGAACCAAGGCGACTGGATTACAGCGGATGTTCGCTTGTGGTGATCAAGAAAGGCACATTTACATCACTTGCCAAACCTTGATGGGGGGGGGGAGAGAAAGCGCCACGGGCACCAAGTACTTCACATAAGTACTTCTCTCCAAAAGAGAATATTTTCTACCAGTCAAACACCATTTAAAAAACCAATCTAGACATCACATAAGTACTTCTCTCCAAAAGAGAACATTTTCTGCCAGTCAAACACCATTTAAAAAACCCGGTTACTTTTGCTTTTAGGAACTGTGAACCTAATTTGCTTCACGAAAGCACAAAACGCAGAAGCAAGCATCAAGAACGTGGGGAGCCTGACAGCACAAAGGAGATGCATCTATATATCAATATAGATAAAAGACTAGCAAATCTCCAGTTTTCCCAGAGAACTTACCCCCCCTTTTTTTCTTTTGATTGGGGGAGGTAGCTAATAGCTGTGGAAGAATACTTTTTCGTTATTGAAAGAATAAACAAAAAATTTATATATTTTCTATTACAAACACAGCCAGCTACCAATGTACAGGGAATTGTGAAACAAAGCAGCCTCCAGAGACAAAAGTAGCAGCAATATATTCCCCACTTAATGAGGCCAAATTTCATCCCTTTTTCTTATTAGCCAGCAGCCAAAACACCCCCCCAAAATACCCCCCACTGCCTATGTATCTCATACGTCCAGGACACAAGGTCTAAAGTCCTTGATGTTAAGGGAACAAACTCTTGCAGGGCAGCAGGTGAGAAAACAGCCAGAGGCTCCGTTTCAGGATGGAATTACACAGTCAAGCTTATTAAAAGATTCAAGCTTCTCTGATGTAAATGTGCCTTTAGAAAGCAAACAGGAATACAGCGATAAAAAAAAGTCAACCAACTAAAGTAGCTCTTGAAACTATATATAAAAATTGGGTTAAAGCAGCAAATCATTATCTGCCGAGGTGGTGTTTTTCTTTCTTTTTTTTCCTGGTACGACTAACAACCAAGTTAGCTTGTGTCCGTGTTTTAACAAATCAAACGCTACTGCTGACAAAGTAAAACTAGAACCCACAAGGAGAAAAAAAAATGAAAAGTGCACAATGAAATCAAGAGTCTTGGATCAAGTATCTGTGGAGGATTGGAAATGTTTTGTCCGGCGGACTGGATGGGCCGAGGGGCGGGAGGCGGCCTTAAAGTTTATCTGCTCCGGCTCTGGCCTGCCGCTCCACGTAGAAGAGAATGTAGGCCTTCGCCTTCCCCACCGTCTCCTCGTCCGTCAGGGTCACCGTGCTGTCGTTGAAGTGGAACCAGCGGCCTTCGTGAGTGGCGTAGGCCGTGTAATGACCGGAGCCGACCCTGGGAACAGCGACAGGCAGGGCGTGAGAGGGAGGAAAGGAGCCGTCTTGGGGGGAAAAAAGGAAGCCAGCGCTCCAAGAGGGCCACCCTATAGACACCTGGAGGCACCCGCTCAGACCCTCCCTGCAAATTGGGGTCCACCCTCCCCCCCCCCAGGGGCCTAAACAACCCAAAAGACCAAGCAAGACCGGCGGGCCTCTTCCGAAAGAAAACGAGAAGGCTTCCAACCACTCTCGTTTTCCCTTCAGTGACTGGAACGAGGGGCTGAGGGAAACATTTCAGCCAGCAAGTCAGAGGGAGTGGGGTAGCGCTTTTCAAAGGCTTGAAATGACACATCTTGCACTCTCTGTTCTTGATCATTCCAGACTGCAGGACGTGGAATGATGGGCTCCAGTGAGAGGAAGCCAGTTTTAGCCTGAGTATCGGGAAAGCAGTACAAAAATGGAACCAATAATCTCGGGTGGTGGCGAGCGCTCCAAAACGGGGAGGCCTTCAAGAGAAACTCAAGACAACCGCCTGGCAAGTACCTTACAAAAATGGAACCAATAATCTCGGGTGGCAGCGAGCGCTCCAAAACGGGGAGGCCTGGCAAGTACCCTTTGATTGGGATTCCTGCACTGAGCAGGGGGTTGGACTGGATGGCCTCAGAGGCCCCTTCCAACTTTATGATTCTAGGATTCAAAGGTAGATCTGCTGAAAGTACATCTGTCAGCCCTGGGACTGGGATTCTACCCTGTGTGGAGGTCAGGGGGAGATCCTTCCACCCGAGAGGAGGTTAGAGAAGAATCCACCTCCAGGGATGGGAAGAAAAAGTCTCCAAGTGCCCAGACCGCCCTGAATGTCTGAAGAGAGCCAGACCTTCCTCCGGCCAGCCAGTCACCCTTCCCAGGCAGCGGCCTCTCCTCCAACCCTCTTTTCCCCACCTTATGCCGCCACGCTTGCTTTCCTGAAGCATCTGTTGCAAACAGTCCCATAAAAGCGTCTTTCTCTATAAACTGGCTTGAAAGGGGCTCTTGATGAGGGCCATTTCTGGAGGCAAACACCTTCCTATCAAGATCGGGCCACATCCACGCCTCCCTCCCCCCAAGGGCTTGGCCTTTTGCTCAGTAATCTGCTGAAAAACAGAGCACCAGCCTGGAGTCTGAAAAATCTACTAAACTATATTTAGATCAAATATACGTCTAAAAACAGAGGAGCCTTAAAGCAAGTTCCAAGGAAAGCTGGTGCCTCTATTCCTCCCCTGCCTTCTGAACAAGACCTCTAATTATTCAGGTTAAAGAAATACAGAGTAGTTAGTTAGGAAAGGGAAGACACACATATATACAGATAGTTTTTAAAAACCGGCAAAGGAAAATGTTTGCCGGAATATGGCCTAGAAGGAGAATTGCTATGGCCACATGTATTTTGCTCGGCTTCTCAAATACTTGTTGAGAATCACGTCTGAGGAAGAGCCCCCAGGAGACTCCCTTGTGCAAAGATGCCCCTGG